ACAGCAGCGAAAGACAATGAGGGGTGAGGTCCTCGCTGCTCTTGGGATTTCTGAGAGTAACATGACGAGAAGCTCAAGCATGATATCAATGGGGACCATGGATATTCAAGTACTTGTTGTGCTTCAGCTTCAGACTGCGTTGCTCTACCACAACGTCTGACTATCCATGGAGCATATGCAAGACACACGCCCGCCTGCATAGTCAGCTGGGTAGGATTGTGTCAATTCATGGCCATGAGGGAGGCCGATCCTTGTGTCTGCCGTGTTCTCGGGGAGGTAAAATGCCAGGCCGGAAATCGTGCCAACATGCCCATCCCCGAAATAGGCGCTTCTTGGGACCCTGTCGAGCTTGTCTTGGCAGTTGCCATGCTGTTATGAGCAACGAAGTCCCAGGAATCAGGGTCTGCACTCCCGGTGAGACAAAGTGGAACTAGTGTCAAGCAGGTATAGACGTCATGATGGGTTGGGTGCTGGTGGATTTGTCTACCAAGTTAAGGGACATGGAGAGGTGGTGAAAGAGGGGTGTATCAAACAATTGAGAGTTGGAGTGCGAGAGGTTGAAAGGCATGGGTAGGTTCAAGAGTCAAGACGCACAGGGGGGGAAGGGAAGGTGTGGCCCAGCTTCCTGCCCCACCAGACAGTACTCCGTTGAAACATGGGGAGATGTAGCTCAGGAGTTCCCGGCTCAGCTTTTCCTGTACCATCACCTCCGAGGCGTTCACACCTACGGCCCATGGACATTGATTACGAGCTTGCAAAGGCGGCGCTAGGTGATAGATGGTAGATCTGCCGCGTGGTAAGTGGGTATTCTGCCGGCGTGTTTCGAGTCTCAGGATGGCCAAGGCGTTTGTTTGAACAGGATTCGACATCCAGGCCGGACCCATCATCCATCTCCATTTGTTGGTCCCTGGATAGTCCTCATGGTCTCATGTTTTTCCCTATAGCGTCTAGTCAAACAGCGTCAAGCTGATAGGATTGATAGGATTCGGCTGTCAATTAAGCCTACTTCCTGTCGGAACTGCCTGTTGGGCGCCCGAAGAGCCGCTCCAAACAGGACGAGGGCAGCCGTACCGCCTTATGCGGGAAGACCCAGGCAGCTTCAGCCTTTTTCAAGATACAATGACATCATGGCAAACCGCAGTTGGTATATGTATGACTACTGCATAACTATACCAGAACGCTAATGACAATGAGGATGGGCCAGAGATAACCGACTCATGGAATCCCACCACTTCATAGGGTTCACGCTCTCCCGCTACGAGAGTTCACTGAAAGCCATAATCTCATGGCGCAGCATCCATTTGATGCTGACAGCTTCCAGTTTACTCCCTTCGTTGCCAAACATCACTGCACACCACTCAGCCGTGGACAAGCCGAATGGCTTTCACTTTGAAGCACGCACTCTATGCCCAGAATAGCAGAGACAACGAGGAGTAGTAAGACTGACAAAACAAATTAAGTCTAACCAAGGATAAACACGAGGAGGAACCAATTCCTGATACTACATAAATACAATAAGAAATCCAACCCCACACACCGGGAGCTTATGGACGCCAAGGGGGCCACCGGGAAGCCACACACCAGCTACTACATTCTAGAAGCCTGGACAGTTCCTGCAGCAGTTCACGCTTTAAGCTTACCATTGCCGCCCCCTAGCGCACATCTCAGATTCGGAGCGTCCTTTTTTATTCACGCGTTCTTCTTTCCGTGGGCAGACGGCGTACCTAAAGCAGTTACAGTTGGCTGGTACTTGTACAGCCAGCCAAGATAGTTGATCCAAAACCATGTGGGCACAAGGGTGTAAAGCAGCCATCTCACGAATGGGCCGGTGCCGTACGGCAATCTTGCTGTATGCAGTAGAGCAAAGTTATCACTAAACTTTGACAAGTCTTTGGTTCGAGGCTCTCTGATCCTTGCGTACGTAGAAAGAATCAGTTCAGAGTCTTCAACGAGAGTCCTACGATTCTCAGCCAACAAGTTGCCTAAGACAGCGGCATCTTCAATGGCTTGACAGCCGCCTCTATTTCACGATGACATTATCAGCTTCCTCGGATAGTAGAGAGGGGGTGGGATAGGGAACTCACTGTCCAAAGAAGCTCGTCATACTATGGGCGGCTATAATCGTCCAAACAACCTGTCAGCAACCGCACATCTTTCAACAAACCTTGTCCAGCAGGGCTATGATGAAAAACTCCCCACTTACCATCACCTAAAAGTGCCACTCTTCCATTGTACATGGATGGGAATTCAACTTCCTGGAAAACGTTACTGGCAACAACCCTCTCCGATTTGTCGATGACTACATGTGGTCAGCTCTAGTAGGGTGGAATTTTTTTGGCTACGCAACCTCTCGACAAAAGAGGCATACGCTAGAACATTGAGGATATTCTTACTGCTTCCAAACTGACCCTCCTCCGCGAATGGATGGAAAGCTCGGCCATAGACTTTCTTGATGTCTGCGGGCGTGATCGAATCCCATACCGAGCGATTTTTATCGACGTCTCCCTCCGCTTTCTGAAACATGGTTCAAGTCAGCAAAGGATGTAGATCCCTATGTTTCATAGCTAGTGAACTGAGACAGGTTCCCATGTGGCATTTTCGGTCCATGTTGCCTATCTTTAGATCCGGAGTTTGATATCACCTCCGAACCAGAGGAAACGAACGGAGGTTCTGCCATGACTCTTCACCTTCCTCTCCATTGCCGCATGAACCGGCGGGTTGGGATAGGGAGCCCCGGATGTTCAAAAAATAATACTTTGAACTCACCTTGACCCCAATATACCACTGTCTGTTATCCTTGCATGGCCAGGTGGTCAGGATGGCTTGATCGTAGAGCATCCAATTGGCAACACCCAGCTCCTTAGGACCACAGTTAGGTAGTGGGCTGGTTATTCCGGAAAAATGCACACGTCCAGTGAACTGGATGGTATTCGCCGACGCCTCCTGACCAGTGTTGCGCAAGAGGGCTCGTCGGACAGCTGATCGGATGCCATCTGCACCAACAACAAGGTTGCCACGATACTCTTTTTCTCCTTCGACGACGACACGAACGGGCTCGCCGGGAGTGTCAATTATATCGACAACCTTGGAGCCCAGGATAACATTCTCTTCTTCGCCAGCCGCCTTGTAAAGAAGTCTGTGGAAGTTGTGTCTCTCAGCAGACAGGATTGGGTAGCCATAAGTTGGCTCAAGTGTGTCTAAACTCAAGCTGTTCCACTGGGTAGCATTGCGCCAGATTTGCAGCTTTTGCAGCTTCTGAGCAGTCTCTTGAAGCTCTTCATACACGCCAATCTGATCAAGGACCCGAAGGGCATTAGGGGCCAGAGAAATTCCAGCACCAACAGGCTGCAAAACCTCGGTCCTCTCCAGAACTTTGTAAGTGATGCCCAGCCGTTTGCAGATTGCAGCGAGTGTGAGGCCGCCGATACCGGCTCCAACAATGATGACTTCAGCATCCACCTTGGACATGATTGAGAAGTAGATGAAACTGTGTACAAGACGAGTTGGTGATTAAGAATCAGAATAATGTGAGGGCTAAAGAAAGCCTGACACTATTTATTATTATTGGAGATTTCGGAAGAATGAACAGGATGTGCATATGCCACTTTGTTTTTCCTCAAAGTATGAACCTCCAAAGCCTATTTGTAGCATATCGCAAACTCGTGGACTGCTAGGTATCGTACGACTTGGTCATCCAACTTGCGGTTTGGCCGATGGACGGCGGAGGTACGGGCATGAAATACGGCGGATACTAGACCATTTTTCGGACTCGCAGGCGGAGAAAACGGACAGACCAGACATTCTGACGAATGATGTGAGATCATGCAAGTAGTATGCGGGCCGTCACGGAGCCGAATACACGTTGTATTCCATCATGGCGTGGTGCAATATGTGCGTAGATCGTTGGGAGGAAGGTCTCAATATCAAGGTCCAAGTAGTTAAACGAAATACCCAGGACTGCGAATGTATCCGTAGAAGGCCAGCTCGTGCAATAACAAGCTGAAAGGGCCATTCATGGGTCATTTAAGACAGGGCAGGAAATGATGTAAACAGAACGAATTACAGTGTACATATATATACACCATTCGCTTCATCGGAATCCTCCGTGTAGATCCAACAGATGCGGCCTGGTACTTAGGTGGGCAGACGTTGCCTTTTTTTTTTTCTTCCACATGTTGTTGACAGCTCCATGGAGTCTAAACACTTTGTAAATCTAAGGTACATTATTTAATTGTTAATTGTTGGTTGTTTCGCTCTGTAGTCAAATGAAATTACACGCATGATACAGGCATCGTGCAAGCGTAAAATCCAAAACAGTATTGGGCTAAGGTACATTATTTATATCAAAAATAGCTGGAGATTTCAATGGTTCAGATCAAACATTACAACCCTCTCCTCATTAAGACGCGGGAAAGTCTAACACGGGAGAGTACCCTGTCGCTAGTACACAAACAGGAAGACAGACCACTGTAGAGCCACAGCATATACATAAAAAAAAATTCATTTTTATTATCGAAAAAGGATCTGTCAAGTTCTCCCTTTCGACTTCTTTGTCTATTTGAATATACAAGAGAATGAATAAAAGGAGGCGAAATAATAGTCCGTCGAGACTTGGGAGTCGGGACAAGTGATGCTACTACCCTGTATTACCCTTCGGGTACAAGCGCCGACAAGGATATGGTGACCCTAAGAAACCAACCAGAGTTCGCATATGATAACAGTACTACTACTCTCATCTGACAATCATCTCCTAATCTGCGGCAGGTCAATTGGAATGCCGTACTGAAGAATATAAACGCGTTACTTTATGCCTTGCCAAATATTGTTTCCGCCTTTGCAAAAATCAAGTCATCATTACCCCGACCAGTCGTGGCTGTTCCTGAGAGCGCGTCACCTACGCGGATTTACGCCCTACGGGGCGGATAAGTCGATGCCATCAGAAGGATGGCCTAGCGCATTGATCAGTTAAAACGCTCTTTGTCTACAACATAGATGTAGGCTTACCATTGCATATCTGCGATGCCAACCCGGTTCTTCTCGAAGTCAAGAATAATGTACTTCTCCTTAGCAAACGTCTCGCCAAAGTTCCCGATGCTGTGGACGGAATAACTCGGTCAGCTCTCGTCGATTGTTCCATTGCGAACGCGAAGTGGTTGGGACAGGACTCACAACTTGTCACCACTGGCAAGAGTTCGGACGTTGAGCACGCAAGAACCGTCCTTCATCTTCTCGACATACATTTCGGGGGTGACGGCCCATTCTCGGCTACTGCCCGTGAACTTGTACTTGATGCTGGGGAACGACTTGAGCTTGGAGCAGTCGACTGAGAAGAATTTCTGCTCTCCATTGTTGGGAGGCTCCTTGAGTTCCACGGGCTTTCCACCCGTGATCTGGGCCAGTCTGGCGTAGGCGTTTGGAGTCAATGGAGTGCCACGACCGTAGGCGGCGTGGTCGAAAATGGCACCCTTGCCAGAGCTGTTTGATGTAGGCTCAATCTTCTGGACTTCGGTGCCAATCTTGAGGCCTGCAAGTTCGATGCCCCAGTAGTTGTATACGGGCGGGTTATACACAAAGTCTAGGGTGTTGACATCGGGGTACAGCCTCACATCGTACCACCAGATCTTTTGGTTCTTGATGAGATCGCGGCGGATGCCGCCCATGGTCTGGATACCATCATGCCCGTTGCAAACAGGCTTGCGAGATTCTTCATGACAGTATACGAACCCGGTATGTGCCGTTCTCCAGCGGCCATTCATCCATTGCTGATAATAGGCGGACTGATAGTCAACTGGTGGCGAGAGTGTCAGCAAACACGGCCCAGCTTGCCTCGACAGCTGATGTCAGGCTTCATCTTACCGTCATCACCACGAAAGACCGGTGACATGCCGAAAATACCTGTGAAAGGGAATGGGGTTCCGTATTTGGCCGAGACGTTGAATTGGAGGTCTGTTAACTGCAGGACAGCTTCTCCAGTAACAGGCCCAATATGCAACAAATCTGAGCCATACTCGATGCTCATGGGGTCTTGCATGAAAAAGTGGTTGGGCCTCCATGAGCGATCAGCGTACTCGCTTGTCAAATTTTTGAACGTGGTGGAATTGCGAGGATCCCAGTAGGGTTGCTGAGGATGCAGACAAAGACTCGGATTCCACTGGCCATAACACTTGGGCGTAGTCACAATGTTGCTGACCCAGGTCCAGTCGACAAAGACTTTGTAGTCGAATCTGGGCGATCCAACACCAATTCTGGAAGCGAAACCGAGAGGATCCCAGTCAAGTGGCAAGTCATATTGCCCTCCACGGGGGTTCCAAGAACCAGGCCTGTCACTCCATCGTCCGCCAGGACCCCATCGAGCTTCATCGACACCGTTGGGAGGAACGGCCGCAGGCACTGCGTAGGCAGTTCTAAGAAGCAGTAGGCAAGACGCCAAAATGGCCTTGTATGGCATTGTTACTGATGCCTACCTAGCAAGTCAACGAAATGTTTAGCTCGTGGCATGGCGCGTGGCGGGTATCGACAGAGGGATTCCGTTGCCACCACATTCCATGCGACAGAATGTTCGTCGAACAGCTCCACATGGAAGTAATGCCTAACTGACACCAGTTGAATGCAGGAACTTACTTCTTTGTTATCTTACTGGTCAGTTGATGATGGATGTCGAGATCAGGCGTACCCCTAACACGTGGGTTGATGGAAATAGAGACAGATACCACGGTTCAATCGCGCCCTCTTTTTTCGGTTCTGTGGGTTTAATTGCCACTCGAGGAAACTCAAGATTATTCTGACGGAAATTCGCCGTCTTCTTGTACTCCTCTCTTGCCCGGCCAGCTCTCCGGTAGTAAGCGCCATATCGCCGGCGCCTCCGCTGGCTGGCGGAAGGACAAGACAATATCCAGGACCTTGATCTGTAACAACGGCGGTATTCTCAATCGAGTAAGAATAGTACGGGTCGTTTGATATTTGCCGGCTGTATTGATTGAGAACGGGGTTTGCACGTCTTGCCTCCCTGCTCGCGCCATGATGATGCGCCACCTTGACCGCACGAGTACTCACCTCAACCCCGTGAGCCCTTGATCTTTGCCACCGTGATTTACAATGACGCAAATTTACCGAAATAGATGTGGAGTTGGTTCAGTTTGAAACTTGTCCCGTGGATGGCCAGTATGCCTCCGACTCGAAAACGTGCTCTGGAGGCTTGTCTAGGGAGTCATCCGCCATCATGGCTAAGACGCATCACGCATTCATGAGGACCCTTCTCTTGACACTAACTGTCCATGGAGGTAACCCGAACAAGAGGCAAAGACAGAGCATTGCAACCGGAGCAATCCCAGACGGCTGTGCCGAGGGTTATTTCCCATTCGGGACGCAAGCTCTCCTAAGTAGCCAGGTAGCTTGACACGCCAGCAACAACGAGATTGGCTTTCATCGCCTCCTCATTTCTAGATACGTGCTTGAACTCGCTCTTTCCCGCCCTCGGCATTCGTCCCTATGCTCGCGGAGACGAATTGACGCAGATATTATAAAGTTTGAGGCTTGGGAAGCGGGAATGGAAGTACTGGATTCCAGAACTCCACGTTTCATTCACGGGTTTAGAGTCGTTGATTGCATTCTTTGCTTCTTCTTCAGAGTTGATCTCATGCCCTTCTAGATCTCCAGGAAGTAGACTTCTCTCGCAGGTCATTGGTCTCCCGCTAAAAGTTTTGTTTCGTATCAACGGGCCTGGATTGCCCGTTGTTCACCGGAAATTTATCACACAAAGGGATTTCCTCATATTGACAATAATTTGACCTCATTTAGCAAAGACCGAGATTCCCACACCCATTTTTTGAACAGTTTTCTATTCTTATTGAAAAGCACCGCGTGTTCACTGTTATACTCAACGCAGTCATGGAAGTCATTACTTTGATCCAAGGCGATGATATGTCTGGCCTGACCCCCCTTTTTCTCGTTCACGCGATTTCTGGAGTGGCTCTTCCCTTTCTTCATCTTCATTCCCTTAGCGACGACGACAGACCGGTATACGGCATCACAAGTCCTCTACACTGCCCCGGCGGCGATATCCTCAAGTATCCCACCAGCCTCAAAGACCTGGCTGCCTTTTATCTCGACGGCATTCATGATATTCAGCCTGAAGGACCGTATCTTTTGGGTGGATGGTCCATGGGTGGCATGATTGCCATGTTCATCGCGCAAATGCTGGAAGCTCGAGGAGAAGAGGTTTACAAAGTCATCATGATTGATTCTGCCAACCCGGAAGTTTTCCCAAAGTTTAAGAGCACAGAGGAACATTGGGAATTTGCCAAAACCACCTTTGACCGCACAATTTCAGCTGGTGGGCTACAATCCGATGACGGTGATGGCGCCGACGACTTTCCTGTCTCGCCCGCCATTACAAGCAACTCCGAAATGGACGACTACATTGCGACCCAATCTCGGCATTCCAGTGTCTGGAAAAGCCCTTCAAGCCCGACGATATCGAGTGCTCGATCCAGCGCAGCCAGCATCTTCGACACCAACAGCCCCTTCACGTCTCCAGGGTCTCCGCTTTCCGACGACTTCTTGACTGATGATTCTGGTTGCGATTCAGACTGTGGCTCTGATTGCGACGAGCCGCCCGCCATGGAAGAATTTTTGCGGCACATCAAAACCCATATCCATCGAGGTCTTGATCTCATTTCCAGTGTCCAGCCCGGCGACCTCTTTACCCCCGGCACCAAGTCTGATTTTGACGCTGTTCTTATCAAATGCACTGCAGGGCCTATCGACGTCGCAGAGGAATATAAAGGAAGTTCGGGTGCACAGCTGATTGAGACTGTCATGAGAGAGCAGAATATGCGGTGGAATCCGTCGCAGTTCCGAAGCTTCCAGTCCATCCCGTTCAGCGGAGACCACGACGCTGCATTTCAGCCACAATTTATTGGAGAGCTGAGCTCGATCCTGCGAGAGTGCATTGAAGACGTTGAGTAGCTTGATACCCCCGAGGCAACATGACAGGAAATGGCCATGGATCAATATGTTTCGCGAACGGAATCCTGAAGTCTTCTAGACATAGACAGCCTGGACGGGCATGAACTTGGAATATATCTCAGTATTTCCCCCTCCCTTTAATTTACTGTTTGAGCATACGCTGGCGTCGGCATCAAATGTCTCTTACAACTGCCATACGTCTAACGACGGGGCGGTTATAGTATATGGCCATGGCATTCAGAGAGTTCGTTCTTCTCAAGTTAAGCTCCTCATTATCCAGCCTTCTCCATCTAATAGCTTAGCTTCATCTTTGGCATGAATCAAGTGTAGTTCAAATTAAGTTGCTGCCTCTACGCTTCCCATGACGTCCTTCAGCCCAAAATGACGCAACCATCTGCAGCACCATGTCCCCGGGCACACTACATCGTTTCATGTGTTTGCCAGCTCGCAGATGTGCCTCATAGTCCTTGACAACCACCACATCGGGGGTCCACGGTCGACGTCTGCAGGCAAGCAGCCACTTAGAGAGCAACAGAAAAGATGTACACACCTCGTGGGGGTGGATCTAAGGTCACCTGCGTGACGACGTCTATCCTCTCCGTCGGTTGACGAAGATGCAAAGTGATGTGGCGACTTTGATCTGCCCACCCGCGACTCAGTTTGCAGTCGAGCAGACTGGACGTAGCTCGGCCACGCGTCATCACGTAATGCTATTATTTATGCATAGCCAAGTCTTGCTAAGAACCGCAAATTTCTTATCAAAGTCGTTAGCAAATACGCCTTCTAGGTGCAACCCCCCTCCCCTTTCCCTTCCCGGGAGCCCGGATCATCACCATTTGGCCCCCGACATGAGTCGGAGAGATGCCGTGGCACAAATCTGCTGCCGCGGCACACCGACAGTCCGATCCCATTGGGTTTGGCTTTGCGGCATAATTCTCGGTTTCAGATATAGGCCATGTGCTATGTGTGGAAACAAGCTACGCAGTGACGAAGGCCGTGGTTCCGACATTGCGGTTCGCGCTGGGGGTGTGAGATGGCGAAGGAAGGCGAGTGACGTTGTCAGCAGTGCATACATTGTAATTTGCTAGAAACCTTCGATACTTGTCATGGGGGGTTGTGCTCTGCATTAAGCAAGGTATTGTGCGTTTCTGTAAATGCTAGCGTTATGTACGCTGTCCACTCGCTGGAAAGGCGCCATTGGATACATAGAGAACACGAGGTCAAGACAGAGTATAAATTCATTTGAAATCTCGTGTGTGCTAGTATGATGTATGACAGTACCGAATAGTATGGCACTTGATCCGCGGGAACCTTGGCAAGCTAGATTCTCTGTCGTTTGCAAGACGGCGATGCATGTAAGTCGCGGAGGGAAAAGAATCTTTATTTAGCTCATTCTAGGGTGCGGCATGAATTGGCTTACAAAAACAGACTTTGTGAACCATGTAGCTCAATATGATAAGTAACAAAACAGGATCACCGGGCGCTCACACCGTCGTGTCATCTAGTAGCTTTCCTCATCCGAACCCGTACGCCACCTCGAAGCCAGGGCGTTCCAACCTTGTCAAAGTTGAGATTTGAAAAGTCAGTCTTGTCCGGGATGTCCTCTGTTTCCCAAGCAAAGTCATATTCTCGTAGGAGTGTAGCCACCGTCCTAGCCACTATTATCATGGCCATTTTCTCTCCTACACACTTGTGGCTGCCGCCGCCGAATGGAAGATATTTCACACCATCAGTTTTGTTGTCTATATGCACAATCTTTTGCTCGTTGCTGATCCATCGCTGAGGGTTCCAAACTTCCGGCTCAGAGTAGTTCTCTGGGTCAAGGTGGGTGAGATATGGACTTATAGACACTACTGCTCCCTTGGGGATGTTCACGTTGGACCCAGGAATGCATACATTCTCGCGAGCTAACCGTAGGAGCTTCATTCCGCAGTAGTATCTTGACGTTTCTTTGATGCACGCTTGGAAGAGAAGCGATTCTTCTCCCTCGGGCATCGAGCGCAACTCGCTTGTCACCTGTTTCATGACGTTGGGGTGGCGCAGAAGCTGAGTTATATTAGTCAAATGGCTTGGTGATTATGTGCTTTTTACTTCCTGCTTACGGCAATTATATTCCAAGAAATGCTAGCAGCAGTGCTTGTATGAGCAGCAAACATGAGCATGGTGTGATGGCTGGGCATAAGATGCTTCAATGGCGCTGTCGCGCCGTCTTCCATGGTGAACGCAACGTAATCCTGTAGAGGCCGAACGTCACTTCTCTCTTGCCTGTCTCTCTCTCGGAGTCGCTCCATGAAGATTTCCTTGAAGCGGTTTCGTGCCTTCAGTAAGCGTCGCGCAGGCGGGTGAGGAACCCAGTCGGGCAAGATGAAAGACAGCAAACTGCCAATATCAGCTTCCATGGAATGCAGGAGATTGAACAGTTCGGCAGCATTGTGGTCGTAAAAGTCTTCTCCCATAAGCGACCTAACGATGATCTTGTGCACAAGATAAGAAACTGTGTCGAATAGCTCGAGGCCATCCCACAATGACCACTCGGCGGCAGCCTTATGCGTCTCTTCCACAGACACTATTGCAGCATATCTTTGTGCCGGACCGGAGCTTACGTAGCGACTAAGTGAGGATAAAAGGACTCGGTAATGATCCCAGTAGCCGCTGTCGATTATTTTATTTAGGAACAATCCCTGATGGTAGTCAGTGTTCTGGTCAGAATTGACGCCGCCGCACTTCTCACCATGCCGCCAACAAACGACCAGACCTCTTCTCGCGTCTCGAGATACACCTTGTTAAGTTGGTTGCCACGGAGCCAGACATTGTACACTGAAAGAACCTGGATACTGAATACATCACCACACTGTCTCGTGGCTTTCTGTATGAGTGCAATGGGCTTCGTTGCAAAGGCTTTGGCGTCATGCAAAAATGCAAGGGATCCCTCGCCCTTATACCCAGGCAATGAAATAGGCGAACGCCGTCTAAGTAAGGTCAAGATTGCTGCAGCAGTAGCAGCAAGCAAGATGACGATTGTGGTGAAGAGTGCCATGGCCGTGGTATGTAACAGCCTTCGTAGGTTGCGATGGCTGTCGTACGAGACAAGCGTTTCGTTCTCAAATTCCCCCTGGACTCTGTCTTTTTTTCAAAACGAAGGACATGTTAGAAGAACCGCTTTAAGTATAAAACTTTGATTCATTATGCTGTGCTCACAAGACACCACAGACCTCCGACTTCACGAGGCATATTCCGCTCACCTCCGCTCCGCGGCTTGCGCCGTCACTTGATGTCATGGTCTGGTCGAGGACAGCAGCCCTAAATCGAGTAACATATGGTAATCCGAGTTGCAAAATCGTCCGCTCAAGCGTTTCACGTTCCTTGGGTGTGTCTATATGAGCCCAAGTCTTACCACCGACTTTCCGTGGTGGCGCGGACGACTTTGCGTCAAGTCGTCCGAGCTTCAATCACGTCGGAATTGAAAGCCGATGATTTGCACATATGTAACCTCAAAATGAGACCAATAGGACCTTTTAATTGAGACAATCAACATTATCATCACCATTTGCCATAATTAGGCATGCTCAATACCTCCGGGTGTCTCTCGATGTAGAGTAGCTTGCGTGCCACATCAGCTCCCGCTTAGTCATTGAGAGATCTGCGAGAAGGAAAGTTTCGCTGATGATTATGAAATGAAATTTAAAATTAAAAGACCGAGCCGAGCTGTAGTTTACCCTGGCCTCATATTCGCTCGTGTGTTTTGAAATCGGACTTCATGACCCGGGGCAGGAATATCGCATGTGCAGCACCTCGATTGTAGAACATAACTCGATACAACTATGTAATGTTTTCAATACCTACATGCCTTCAAATGTTATCCGGTGGGTTTCAATCTAACAAGGCAAGACCAAAGGGGGGCTCATCACTCGACTGCCTCGTGCCTTCCTTGGCTGAAGACGGCTTCGCTTATACGCCGTTGCCTCTGTCGCCGCTTGTTTCTCTGCACTTCCCTTTGCATAGATTTCTCCGAGAATCGCAAAAATGGACGGAAAGGTTCCTTTTCTACAATAAGATATCAAAAATCTGTATTTTTTTAATAGTATTTTATTTTGCTTCCCATCATCGTCAGCTGCTTCTGTGTGCACCGCCGTGCACTTGTCAGCCTGCTATGTTTTCCTTCCATGTCCTGAAAATCGACGCCAAACGACCACCTCATGTATCCATCGCCTGGCACGAATCAACATATTCACCCCCACGTATAGCCTACGAGCGACTCAAATCGGGATACTATACATCGGATCGTGGCAATTCCTTCTACCACCCAAGCGCTGCGCTGTCAGCTTCTGATGGAGCCACCGATGACACTGAACCAAATCTACCAACAGTTATAACGGTCGATGTCGCATATTCATGCTGGCCGCGGATGAAATGGTCCCAAAGCGACCGGAGATGGATGCCCGACGTCCCAGATTCAACGTCCAGTGTCGATGGCAGCGAGAGCATAACAGATAGCGGAAAATCCCACATCATTGTCCCTGATGGCGGTTTGAGGGCCTGGCTTGTCGTTGTGGGTGGCTTCATCGTCTACTTTTTTGTATTCGGTGAGTCTTAATTTCCTGCGGTTTCAGATTTAGAGGGTATGCCTGACGTCGCAGGGCTTTTAAACGCTTTTGGGAGTTTTCAAGACATCTACACAGACGGTGTGGTCGGATCCTATCCGTGGAGACATGCTACGGCTGAACAGGTTTCATAGATTGGAAGCATCCAGGTATTTCCTATTTCCATTTGATGGAGAACATCTGACTCCAATGTGCTCACATTTGTTTAGATGTGCATTGCCTTCTGCGGCGGCCTTATATCTGGGCCAATGTTTGACAAGTAGGGAGCGCGTTGGCCAATGATCACGGGTGCGGTGCTCGTTTCTACGTCCTTGCTAGGTTCTGGGTTCTCTACCAAGTTCCCGCACTTCTTGGTCACTCAAGGCATCTTTTTTGGCACGGGAACTGCGTTGCTGTAAGCGTCTGCCCGTTTGTCTGTTTGACTCCTTGCGAGCCCGCACAGAAACCGGTCGCTAATTCGAAATGTTGCATGGATAGATATTACCCGGCCACCGGTGCCATCACGGAGTGGTTCAACGAAAAGAGGCCTTTGGCTTTAGGTTTAGCCGCATCGGGGTCCGCTGTTGGGGGGGCTCTTTGGTCGACATATATACCTAAACTGAGTAACAAGCTACCACATGGTGCTATCTTTCTGGTGATTGGAGGCCTCGCGGCTCCTCTGCTCTTTCTTGGTTGCTTGCTCATTCGAGAAAGAAAAGGAGCTGCCGGTCATGATGTGTCTGGCGATGAAGTTCGACCATCTCAACGGAGTATTCGAGCAGCCGTTCTCGAGTGGCGGTTTCTCGCACTGACCTGGTCTTTGGTCATTCTGAATACCGGTATTCTAATTCCGTTCAACTTCCTCGTAGTCTACGCCAGGGAAAAAGAGGTCTCAGAAGACGTGGCGTATAACCTGGTTGCATACACATACTTGGGCTCCATTATTGGAAGAATTGGTTCAGGCCTGCTTGCCGACTTCTTTGGCTGGTGAGTGCAGCATGGGCGTGGAGTCCTCGTGCCAAACATAGCTGATTCAACCTAGCTTCAATGTCCTGTTTTGGGAGAGTATCATCGTTGGGGTGATGACACTGTGGTGGATACAGGTGCATACTGCGGCAGAACTGACTGCATTCGCTGTTTTATTTGGTATCTTCTCAGGTGGTCTTGTACCAATGGGCTCTGCTTGTGTGGCACAAACGACTCCGGACATGGGACATATCGGTCTTCGGATTGGTGTAATGATGGCTTGCTGCGCAGTCGGCGCCCTTGGTGGCGCCCCTTTAAGTGTTGCCCTTCTAAACTTAGCTGGTTAGAGAGTGGTTCAAGGATTTGCTGCACTTGTATCTCTCATAGGTGCTGCCGCCATTTAGAGCGTGAGGCTGCGATGGGAATCTCGTTGGTGGGCGAAGTTTTAGATTGTCGAGTTCCGTAGCTGGATTCGTCTCCTAGGCAAGGTTCTGCGACATATTCTTTACCATTAGTATTAATACTAGCATGCATTTTTCATAAATGGCCAGGCTTTACCGCCCTTGGTTTTGCATCTATTGATCACTGACTTTAGAATCAGTCAAACATGTCTGCAAAGCTGATTTCATTTTCTTCCCGTTTTAGTTTCTGAAAGAATCATGTTGATTTACTATTTTGTAACTAACCGGCAAAGAGGCTTCAATACCGGACACCAGTACGGAGTATAAGCATTCGGGATGCTTAAGCTGCGATGCATTCTAGAACAACACCGGTGTCAAGAGAATCTCCTTATGTTTCCAATTCGGTGCTCTGATGATGGATTGTGAGGAAGCACTTTTGCATTGTGCGACTCTGTGATACTCAAATGGCTGTATGCAATATATAGGCGTCGCCGCCCTCCGCCGGATGTCGGGCGCATTTTGCCAATGTAGGCTCCGACCGTATGCGGGATCGGCACATGAATACCGTTTCCCTGTTTTCCAAGAGATCGGCGATTTAAAATATCGTTCTCTTAAAGATGTTAAAATGGCAGGATGTGGGATTCCAAGTTGTGCCGCTTGTGTTTGTGAATCATAGTTTTTTTTTTTTTTTTTGGCAAACTTTGCCTCGTGCAGGTGTCTTGATCTTTTACAATCGTGAACAATCAGTTGGCAAGCGCCCACGAATTGAGCAATACAAGGACCTCAAGATAGTATTCCCATTCGACATTTGCACCATGAGGGCATTGCCGGTGTGTCTTGCCCTGTGTGCAAGTTTGGCTGCTGGAAGCCCGTGGCAGGGCCGGGACCTGCGAACATGCGTCGCCGAGGTGCTGGGCGAGGGAGCGGACAAGCGCGTCGTCGGACCAGAGCAATCGACGTATACGGATGCTCGGATGGGAGAGTCGATCCAGTGAGTTATTGTGGCGATGCTGAGTCTAGGTATGGCGTCCAGGCTGATTGTTGTAGGTTTGACCAGATGCCTGCGCTGATTGCGTACGCGAGCCACGCCTCACAGGTTGCGCCTCTTATTCGGTGTGCGCGGCGGTCGCGTGTGAAAGCTGTTCCCAGGGCGGGGGGTCACCAGTAAGTGATGGTTCCTATTCTGGGAAAAATCTCAAGCGTTTGCCAACGGCGACAGCTTCATGGCATATTCTGCCCTCGGCGGCGCCCTCGTCATTGACATCACCCACATCGACTTCGTCGACGTCTCGGCCGACAAGACAACCGCAAGGGTCGGCGCCGGAATCCGTCTTGGGGCCTTGTACACTGCTCTCAACCTCCATGGGCGCGACTGGCCGGGCGGCATTTGCCCTACCGTCGGGCTGTCCGGGTTCCTAGGCGCCGGCGGCTTCAACATGCAGATGCGCACCTTGGGCTTGGGCGTGGACCACGTCGTGGCTGCAGAGGTGGTCCTTGCCAACGGCAGTCTCGTCAATGCCTCGCCCGCAGAAAACAGCGACCTGTTCTGGGCCGTCCGCGGCGGAGGCGGAGGCTCGTACGGCATCGTCGTCGAATGGACCCTCAAGCTCTCGCAGTTCCCTCGTTCGTCCATGGTCCAGATCAAATGGCACGAGCCGGACTCGCGTGTCGATCTGGCAACTCGCTTCTTTGACTGGGCCCCCAGGACCGACCCGGCATTCACGTCCTCTGTCCATGTGTACAAGAACCGCACTGAAATACAGGGCTGGTGTCTCGGGTGCACGCTCGATCACGCAAAGGCTCTCATGAACTCATCCGGGCTGCTGGCAATTGGGAAACCGGAAGTCCACATCTCAGGGGGGTGTAATTCCATCAACGCCCGCATGTTCGGGTTCATTGTGAGCGAGTGTATCCCCGACACAGAGGTGTCCAAATACGCGCCACCGGCGATGAACGTCCTCCAGCAGCCATTCACCCAGGTCGACAAGTATCCGCAATTCACATGGAACGAGACTCGTCAGGATCCAAACTCCCCGCAGGCCCAGCCCTGGCCCAGGTTCAGAAGAATGAGTAAGAGCTTTTTCATGCAGAAGAGCAAGAAGCTGGGCAGGGAGGTGGTCCAGAGTCTGGTGGACAGGCTGACGGAGTTGCCAGATGAGGCGGCCGGCTGGGGAGAGTGGCATGCGTGGAACATTAGTCGAAAGGGGGAGGACGAGGCGGCGTTTGCATGGAGAGGGGAAGCGTATGCTCATCTGGAGTTCATATTGACGGGATCCGAGGACGCGGAGAAGCATAAGAGGTTGGCGGAGTGGAATGAGGACTTGGAGGGCTATCTCAGACCTCTGACCGGGTGAGTGCTTCCCGCCAATATTTTTCAGGGTACTTTGAACTCGGTTTCTTTGACGACTGACGGTGATAGTCCTGCGTCGTATGCCGGATATATGGATGCCAGTATCTCGACAGATCCACTGCCGTCGTACTATGGGCATAATGCGGATAGGTTGAAGCTGATCAAGGCCAAGTATGACCATGCTGACTTTTTTGATAACCCCTTGGGCATTTCCCCTGGTCGATAGCTGGGTCGAGAGTTGCAATGCAATGATATTGATTCTACTCTATCGTGTACCATACCCAAACTATTGCCTCCCTACTTGTACTCGGGAGGGGGGGGGATCGCCATCCACAGCTTTTGCTTACCAACACCCGCCTCAAAACGCCAACCCAATTATAAAACTGTTGTAGTGGTATCCCAATGAACATCGTTCATGAACTCATTTTGAAACAAGAAAAAAGCATTTCACTATACTTTCGTCATCCTTGCGTATTCTTGGTCGTCGGCTCATCGTTTGCGTCCCTTGGAGGGCTTGCCGCCGCCGCCGTAGTCAGCAGCAGCAGCTTGTTCCTCTCCCCAGTGCGCATCTTCTAGACACTCCATGACAACGGGATTGGCGAAAACGTGATGTTGCAAACCACCCCTGAAAAGAATTTTCATCATGTTGACTCGCGACAAGAGCGACCAAGTGTCGATTCGTGTGCTGTGGTTTCCAAGTCGGAGACGGCATCTGTAGCCATACTCGGCTTGGCCATCTTCGGTCCGCTGTGATGGCGGGACGTAGGAGTCCTTCTCTGGGACATAGAGCGCAGTAGAGTAGTAAGGGCCGACCCCTCGTTCGAGAGATGTGACAACGCTAATGAGACCCTCGCGCAAGTCGCGACGGGCCTTGCGCGATACAGACTTGCTGCTGAGCTTGGCAAGTTCACTAATGCGACCAATCAAGCGCTGCGGGTCGTATGGGAGCTGGAACGGCTCGCCGGTTTCCTGTTCGTGGTGTCGGGAGGACTCAAAAATAAGTGCGATGGCTTGTCCTGCATTGCACTGGATTTCCGTGTCGGAGCTGTCGAGTTGGTCGACAAAGGCGTCCATGGCAGTGTCGGCATAATCCGAGAAGTCGCTGACGTGGCCGGCAACGAATGACCAACCTACTATAGCGGCGGATACAACAGCGGCATTGTCGTGTGATTCAATGCTTTCTCCGTCGCTGTGGACAATGTCAAGGAGGTACTGCATGACTTCTAGAGCGGATTCTTCCAGGCCGCCAGCATAGAGCACACTCATACAGAGGGCATAAATCGCATATGTCTTGCACTGATCGTCATCATCGTCCACAAGGATCTGCTTCAGGGTTCGTTCGGCGCCTTCAAAAATCTCCAGGTCATCAGTTGTCCCCACAGTTAGGCAGAAGGCCTGCAGGTTGAGCAGTCTCTCGCGAGCGGTCGGGGCGCGATCCGCGTCCTTGAGGAACACCTCGACAAGCTCGGTAGCGGCAGGATCCAGCCACAGGTGAGTATCAGCACTGTATCTATTGCGCAGGGTTCTGAGGTAGGTTTCGAGAAACTGTTCGCGGACCTCGTTATTATTGTGCTTCTTGTCCTGTAAACCTTCAATCAAGGCTTGGGCATCAAATGTACTTGTGCCGCCTTCATCAGGAGTGGCTGCTCCGGACCCCCCCGAGTGAACACTGGACATGGTGTCGTCGAACTCGAAGTCACCCTCATCCTCACTGTCGCTGACATCGGAGGTCACACGGCTGTGCGTCGCGGAGTGTGTTGGTGACGTCAGGAGAGAGGGCAGGGGAGAGCTTCTGGGTGTAATGTTGCCTGAAGCGCGACCGGATTTGATGGCCTTTTTCGAGGTGGTCTTGCCGTTGCCCTTGAGAGCCTTGACTCTGGCGTGGTTCATCATGGGGACGGTTTGTTGGGACCTCGAATGGCCCAGTTGCAGTTGCTGGGAGGAGAGTTCAGCGATGGGGCAGCTAGACTGGTAGGTGTGTCCCTTTTCAATTGGAGATGGAGTGCGGAATCTTCGAGCTGCGAATGAGGAGCTCTTTTGCTAATCGCGGCCCTTGAGACAGGCCGTTTCAACGTGTTTTCGGCTATCGAATGAAAACCTGTTCGGGTCAAGACGGTGCGTTGAGTGCGTTGCGTAGTCGATGGGTGCCGTAAATTTTATATGTGTTTGCAAAAACCGGTCGAGGGTCACGATCCATAGGGACACGGAAAGGATGTAGGAGACAAGGCGTTACAACAAGGCCAACAGTGCCTTGACAAGTTTCGGTGTCGGGTAGCAAGGCTCAAGGAGCAAGACGGGCGCTGAGCTGAATGGTGGAAAGCAAAGAAAAGCTGTGAAAGGCGGTAAGTTGAGATAGATCACATCAGGTCATGGAGAAGAGGCAAGAGGCGAAGGCCAAATGATGCGCGGGTGGCGCTTTGAGTGGGCATGGAGGGCACGGCGGGCCGGGGCATGAGACCCAAGAGACCCCAAACGCGTCGGCCCAAGCGACATTGATTTGGAGCTAAAGCTAGCAGGCTGCTGAGGCCTAACAGATTACTCCGCGGTTGCGGGCTGACGACCACAACAGGCCGGGCTGTGATGTGGACATCTGGAC